TTGACATTTACAGAATACTCCACCAAACAGCAAAATACATACTTCTTTGGGTACACACATTACCAGATAGACCATATTCAGGGCCATAATATTTAAATCTCAAATTTAAAAATTTAAAGTCACTCAAACTATATTTTCTGACTATAATAAAGTTTAATTAGAAATTAATAACACAAAGATATCTCCAAATATTTGAAAACTAAATGGCATACTTCAAAATTCCCAGGGATCAAAAGGAAATCAAAGTAGAATTAGAGAGCATTTTGAAGTGAATGAAAATAAAAACACAGCATATCGATTTGGAAATTTATATCACTAAAAACCTATATTAGAAAAAGAAGAAAAAAGTCTTAAACCAATTACCTCAGTTTCACTTTAAGAAACTAGAATCTGCTGGGACCGGTTTGGCTCAGTGGATAGAGTGTCGGCCTGCGGACTGAAAGGTCAAGGGCATGTACCTTGGTTGTGGGCACATCCCCAGTAGAGGGTGTGCAAGAGGCAGCTGATCGATGATTCTCTCTCATTGATGTTTTTAACTCTCTATCCCTCTCTCTTCCTCTCTGTGAAAAATCAATAAAATATATTTTTTTTAAAAAGAAAAAAAAGAAAGAAACTAGAATCAAAAGAACAAATAAAAATATATTTCTGCCAATAAAATCAATAAATTAGACAAATAAATTCCTGAAATACACAAATTAATAAACTTAAAAGAAGTTAATAATCTGATAAGCCAATACTTATTATAGAAATTGAATTAAAAACCTTCCATAAAGAAAGCTCCAGGCCTAAGTGGCTTCATTAGTGAAATATACCTAATGGCCAAGAAAGAAATTTTAATAATTCTTTGGAAACTCTTCCAGAAAATTGAAGAAAAAGAAAAAGAAAACATTTCCAAATTCTTTCTATAAGGCTAGCATTACCCTCATACTAAAAGCAGACAAAGATATTAAAATAAAACTATAGACCAATATTACTCATAAACAAATTCTAAACAATTTTAACAAATAAAATACAGCAATAAACAAAAAGATAATAATACATCATGACCAAGTAGGGTTTATCCCAGGTTTCATTAATGTTTAATTAATATAATTCACTGTATTAACAAACTGAAAAAGAAAACATGGTCAGTTGAATAGGTGTGTGTGTGTGTGTGTGTGTGTGTGTGTGTGGTGGGAATTTGACAAAATTTATCATCCATTCCTTATAAAAACTCTCATAAGATGAGAAAACAGAAGTGAACTTCTTCAACTTGATAAAGGGCATCTATGAAAGCCCACAACTAACATTTAACTTGCTGTGAAAGACTGAGAGCAGGATCGAGACAAGGATGCCCATTCTGGACATTTTTACTCAATATTGTGTTATAAGTTCTAACCCGAGAGCTGAGTAATGAGAAAGAAGTAAATTGCATACAGAATGGCAAGGAGGGAGCTAGACTATCTCAGTTTGCAGAGTACATTATAATACAGAGAGAACCCTAAGGAATACACACACACACACACACACACACACACACACACACACAGCTTTTTTATTTATTTATTTTTTTAGCTAACAAATGAGTTCAGCAAGGTTCAGGACACAAGATTAATTCACAAAAATCAATTGTATTTTTACATACTAGTAGTGAATTGAAATTGACATTTAAAAAATAACGATGCCTTGGAGAACATCATGCTGAGTGAAATAAGCCAATCAATGAAAGAGAAACACCACATGACCTCACTCATTTGTGGATGATAAAGAACATTATAAACTGATGAACCAAGAGACAGATATAGAGACAGTAAAGCAACAGGCAGACTGTCAAATTACAGTGGGGAGGGGAGGAAGATCTGGGGGAGATAATAGATCAACTGAAGGACTTGTGTACATGCATATAAGTACAACCAATGGACATAAAACTCTGGGGAGGAAAGGTATGTATGAGAGGGAGGGAGGGGGGAAAAATCAATAAAATATATTTAAAAAAAATAATAATGATGCCAATTTTATAGCATCAAAAATATACTTAGGGGCAAATGTGATCAAAGATGAGGAAGAACTATAGACTGAAAACTGCAAAGTATTGATGAGAGAAATTGAAGAATACCTAAATAAGTAGGGAGATATATGAATATTCATGAGTGAGAAGACTTAATATTTTAACGTGTTTATTCTCACAAAATTGACCTATAGATTCAATCGAATACCAATCAAGACCCCACCCAACTTTTTAATAGAAATTGACAGTCTTACATCTCAAATTCATATAAGCATGCAAAGGTCCTAGAAGAGTAAAAGACAGCCTTGAAAAGAGCAACAAATTTAGAAGGCTAAAACTGATTTCAAAATATTATTATACTACAGTAATTAAGTCAGTGTGATATTGTTGTAAAACCAAACAACTAAATCAATGGATTCTTTTTCTGAAAATATAGATGGAGCCACAATTGGTCTTGTCCAGATAATAGCTGATGGAATGATGGAGTAAGACACCATATTTCTGTGGAATGAGAAGTGACAGCATGACTCCTGGACAGTATGGAAGAATGAGTTTATGTAGAACTCCCCTAGTCTCTCTGTTTTAAACATGGAGAGTTTGCGTGTTTGTTTTTAAAACTTTTTAAAAGTCAACTCTATGGTTGTAAACGAAGTGCTGGCCTACAGGCTCCAGGTGGAAAGCAGGTGGTGTGGGCTGACTTTCAACTCCCCAAGAGCATATGGGCAGGAGCTCCCGGCAAGTATCAGGGAGCAGACCCAGCCCCTCCTGGGGCATGTGCAACACTGAGCACTGCGGAAGGCGTGGAGAGCAGAGAGCTGAGTGTGACTCTGGCCTGAGGACTGAGTCTTCACCATCCCTGGACGACCAGAGTTCAAGTGATCCTTTTACTCCTGGTTCTGAGAAGAGGCCCCAGAGGTCCATGTAGAAGAGCAACAAGACTGCAGACCCAGAGAAGTAATCCAGGGCAGAAACAACAGCAGTAAGACACCCCTGCTCAGATGAACTAACATCTCTGGGCTGAGACAGCTAGTACATAAAGGATAGCCAGTACTCTTAAGAAATGGGAGGGAAATAAAAGAGAAATCTAAAAAAAAGTCACTGATGTCAGTATATTTAAGATCCTCTAAAAGGAAATAGAAATAGCATCCACCCTCTAAAAAAGAAAGACAGGGTAGTGAAGAAAAAAGAGATGCCTATAGTCATGAATCAGAAACTGTTCAATATGAAAAAGAACCAACTTAAAATTTTGGAAAGAGAAAATATATTTAGTTACAAAACTCCATCGTAACATAAACTCTAGACTGAACTCAGTTGAAGATAGAAATTCTCCATTCTGGAAAGCCATACAAAGGAATTTATCTGCTGATACCATCTCTTATTTTGTAGTGTGTTAGTAAGGAGATGTGCAGTCAGGTGGAAGCTAGCCAGAGGTGGAGGCAAGCTGTGCCAGTTCTCAGCAGAAGAACCATAAGCCGCTCTGCAGGGTTTTCAGAATCCAAGTGCTTTTGCCCTTCCCTGGCTGAGCTGTCATCTCCCATTACACGCTGCTGATAAATGGCAGCAGGGGAGGGGCAGATAAATGACTGATTATGTCAGGGGGGATTAAATGACCCCAGTGGCTTCATGGATCTGCATCAGTGCCTAACCTGGTCTTCTCCTTTGAAATGAGAAGCCACGTTGAGGAAGGATCCAAAGCCATCCCAAATTCTGAGTAGTTTTTTAAAATCATAAATAAGACTTCCTCTGTCTCACTTCCTGGAAAGAGAGGATGGGCTCCCAGCACACTGTCAGAGGAAGGGGTTGTTTGCGGAGCCGGGCAGGTGTCTGAGTATTTGCTTTGTCCAAGGTGGGGCCTGCGAACATAGCTTCATTGCGTGTAAAATTTCCATGTTGTTGAGGACACGCATGCCACAAAGTCTGGCACTGGAGCATTGTGGCAGTGTGGCATCCCTCTTCTCTGGTTAACAAGGCCAACACACTGGAAGTGGGCAGTGCAGCATTAGAGGGACGCTGAGTGTGAAGTGATGTCTGCTGCCACCCATGGATCTCTTTTTAGGCCAGACCCACCTGCCTAGAACTCTGTCCCTATGGTGTGGCCATTCTGTCCCCTGTTTGTTTCTGTAATTAGTAAGGAGACAGTTCTTCAAAATTACTAACACAAGCTGTAATAGGATTCATTTTAACATGGCACTATGTTTGGAAAAAACTCTATTTTTCTTTTAGAGTCTTAGCATCATTTTAAAAAATATTTTTTTTTATTGATTTCAGAGAGGAAGGGAGATGGAGGGATAGAAACATCAATGATGAGTGAGAAACATTGATCGGCTGCCTCCTGCATGCCACCTACTGGAGATCAAGCCCTGGGCACATGCCCTGACCATAATCACACCATAACTTCCTGGTTCATAGGTCGACATTCAACCTCTGAGTCATGCCAGCTGGGCTAGAGTCCTAGCATCTTTAGACAAGGGTAATTTCCTGGCCACGAGGCTCCTGTTGTGTGAATCGCGAAACTGAGGCTGCAGTTTGCAGGCAGGGAATGGGGTCGCATGCTCCCTGGACTTTGGGGGTGAGGAGAAACATACAAGCTGCTTTGTCCTGTGATGAGCACAGCTCAACCAGGCCAAGTACCAAATGTCAGAAACAAAGCACTGAATACTGCGGTCGGGAACTGCTGACACAGGCCCCTCACAGGCAGGCTTCTTCAGAGCTCTCCTTGAGGCCTTACTTTATGGACACAGTCTAACAAGGGTGAGTGCATTAGCCCATCGCAGCGGAGAAGGCTGGTCCAAGACTCAGTAGGAGACTGGTGGCAAGGCAAGAGATGGTGTCCCCAGTCCTGAGGGCAGGTTAGTCTGTGTGCATTCTTAGGGTTCTGGGCCTCAAGCTTTCCCTGTGTTGTGCCAGTTGTACAGAGACTGGGGAAATTGTCTCAGGAAAGAGTGCATTGCAATTGCATGGCAGGTTTCAAACTAAACTGTCTACCCACTGTCTCTCCCATCCTGTGCTCCAGCTGCCCACTCCTCTGCTCAGGCTCAGGACCAACCAACCACCATGGTGTCGCCCCTGTGCACCCAGAACTCCCCGTCCCGCTTGCCCACTGCCAGCCGCAGGCCCCACTCCACGGTGTCCCTGCAGCACCTCCACCAGCCCCCAGTGCAGACCATTGGTGGCGCCCAGTGCCCCTGGCCAGCCATCCCACTCACGTCAGCAGCATCGGCTGTCACACCTCCCAATGTCACTGCTGCCAACCTCAACGGGGAGGCTGGAGTGGGGACCGTCAGTGGCCTATCTACATCCAGCCCCACCAACGTGAGATGCAAACCAGACGAGAAGAAAACTGAAAAGGTAAGCAGCCAGCCCATCCTGGGTGAGCTGGTTATTGTAACTCTTTGGCACAAGACACAAAAGACATTTTGTACAATTAAGGCTTGAAGGTGGGCACCAGGTACACGGCAGACAGGGAAGCCAGACCAGCAAGTGGCTGGTTGTCACAGTGGATTCTAGGCAGGCCACAGGTCCAACTGCCCAAGCCCAACTACCATTTTTATGCAAATCATAAAAATGTGTCTTCTCCTCAAGATGTGTTCATCATTTATTGGAAAATCATTGTGCTATGCTCATTTTGTTAGAACAACACTCTCTTTGCCATGCACCAGGATATTATAACATAACACACAAACCTGCTTCTGTGTCACAGGAGTGGCAGCCATGCCCTCCCTGTGTCAGCCCTGAGCAGGCACCACCGCTCAGAAGCACCGTTCAGGCCCGCTTTCTGAGGAGAAATGGGAGCAGGATGCCAGCCTGAGTTGCTATGGGTGGCATTGCTAGCTCTTCTTTTAACTGTGAAGGAAGTAGGCTTATTTTTACAAAATAAATCTGATTCCAATGAGCTTGCCTCAGTTGCCACCCATCCAGACACTGGATCAATCAGGATTACACTCCAGGTTTCTAAATCAATGCTGTCCAATAAAGCCATTTCAAGACACATATCTAATGTGAAATCTTCTAGTAGCCACCTTTTTTAAAAAAGTTGAAATAATTTTAAAATAAAATTAAAACAAATTCATTTTAATAGTATAATCTATTAAACCCCATATCCAAATATAGTATCATTTTAACATGTAATCTATAGAAGAAACTTGTTGGTGAGAGTTCTACCTTTCTTCAGCCAGTGAAACAGCCCCCGTGCTCAGGGGCCACCGCCCACCTAGCGGCTCCTTGGAGTGCGGGCCTAGGTCCACAACAGGGATCCACTCTCTTTATCGGCCTTGTTGTATGAAAGGTTTAAGCTCATTCTCTCATCTTGACACATTCTGTAAATCTTTTCAAACCTTTCTATGTGAAATCAGTCTATTGAATAGAGTGTGCTAACTAGGGCTTGGATGAGATCTTAACCCTGGATTGTGTATTTACAGGGAGAGCAGCCACTCGGCTCTTTAGGAACCACATACCTAAGCTGGGCTGACTGCTCAGTCCATCAGCCTAGGAGCTCCTGAGTCACACCCACCACCCAGCTCCCTGTGGATGGTGGGAGTCCAGGAATCCCACAAAGATGCACACACCAGATTCTTCAGGGCCTCCCTGATGCTCAGGTCTGATCACAACCTCTCGTCCAGTCCAAAGGAAAGTAGTTCCTGTGCAGCTGGTGTGGAGGAGACCTCAGTCATAACTGCTCCTGCTGAGCTCTCAAAGCTCAAATCCCCAGATATTGATAGGCTTGCTAGGTGTGAAGTGAAGTGGTTGCTCTGCGCTTTGTGTCTATGTTTGAAAGTCATTTGGGTCTTGATCCTTCAACCTGCAGCCTTGTGAGGATGTGCTGGGCCTTTTTGCTGGCAGAGGTGGGGTGGTTCCACCCTCTCACAAGGACATCTTTCCTGAAAAACAAGATCCCCTCGGCCTCCGAAATGCTGAGAAAGAACAGGAGACAGACTTAGAAAGGGAAGAGCCATAATTTCTCTGTCAACGTTTCTGGTTCTTTGCCTCAGTTCCCTCTCTCCAGTTAGTGAAACAGGGCTGGCTTCATTCATTGTGGCTCATTGTTGGGCAGGATCAGGCTCATAGGGACCGATATGGTGAGTGATATTATTCACCACCTTTGCCCTCTTAAGTGTGTCGCTAATGAAAACCAACATTGGGTCAGTTTTTGACAGGCCCAACCGGTTAGACACTTAGCAAGTGTTTTGCTTTCATTCAAGGCTTACTCTCCATTAATAGTTCCCCTATGTCAGAAGGAGCAGTTGAGTCCAGGGCCCCTCTTAATGAAAGGCTCTTCGGATGAAAGTGCTGCTCCCACATGGAAAGCAGCTTAGCTCGGATGACTCCCCAGGCTGGGCCTGGCAGTGGAAATGCACAGGCCTACAGCAGCTCATACTGGCCATGCTTGTGGTTGGACACAGACTCCTCGAGGCACAGGAAGCAATTTATGCTTTGCTCCCAAGTAATAGGGTCTGGGAAATGTGCCATCTTCCTCCATGGACAGATGGGTAATTCAGAGGAGAGCAAGTGGACCCTGGACTGGGCCGACCTGCAGAACACAGTTCACCTGGATTCTGAAACCTCAGCTTCTTTCAAATTCCATCCTCTTCTGATCATTCTCATGTGATAACAACCATACAGTACTTCAAGATGGTGGCTCCTTAGAGAAATTGAGGAGCAGTTGCCAAATTAAGATTGGACCTGGATGGAAGCCTAAATCAGGACCCTTATTCAGGGAGGTGCTGTGTGGCAGGGCTGGAAAGGGCCTGGCCAGCTGCCACCTGCGTCTGTACCGCTAAGGCCCTCAGGCTGGGTGTGTGCCTCACATTTCCTGGAAGCAGCCTGTCTTAAGAATCACATAAATGAGGAAGAGAATCTAAAGCATCCCACAAAGCTGTGGGCTGCCTGTCTGAGCCTGACATGCTGTCAGCCCACCATGTGCTAATGGAACTAATAGCTTCAATTATAACTGAGCCCCAGAAATCTGGCATCCCCTTGATGAAGCAGACTGCTCCCCTGTGTGCCACTCACAGACCTGCTGCTGCTCTTCCGGTGGAGAAAGTGGATTCTATCCATCTGTTTCGTGTCTAAAATTCATAAGTACCTGAGCTCGGCATACCTGCTTGAATAATAAAGTGCTTAATCTTTCTTGTTCCGTTCCAGACATTCTTCAGAAGGGTGCCAGATTTTACAAAAAACGTTATCTGAATGCATTTTACTTAATCTGATTTGTGGTAGCACTGTGTTTGTTCTGCAGAAATGCCAGAGGCCTGTTGGAAATCCAAACACAAGGCAAAGTTAGCCAAACCTGACAAAGTGATTGCATAGCCCAGGCCCTTAGGAGGGAGCAGGCTTCTGATTTCTGCCTTTCTGCTGTTTGACCTAATCTCCTATGAGGCAATTTTAAAGGAATTAATGTTATGCTATAATTACTACTAGGTTAGCAGAGTCTTCCTACTTCAATGAAAAGATGATGGCATTGAGCTGAGGTGGCAAGAGAACTGGGTCACACATTTCTACAGCTTCTTGGGTGCTGAGTCCAAAACAATTTCTGGAGAATTGAAACTCCAGCACTTTAATCCTCCCTCATTGAACAATATTAAACCCAGCCAACCATGCATCATCTCTGGGATGGTGGCCTAGGGAAGACAGCTTCTCTCCTGGAAGCAATGGGAGTGCTCCCCATTCTGTGTCCGGGCTCCTCTGAGGACTTGGAGGTGAGACCTGCCCCGGCTGGGGCCTCTCTTTGGTGGAGGAGCAGCTGCGCACTGGGCTCACGGCCACTTGTCAGGTGTGGGCTGGTGTCACATTCAGAACATGGAGTGCTCTGGGGGCTCTGGGTACAGGACAATTGCAGCAAGGTCTATGCCCTCGTGGTCCATTGTCATGGAGGTAAAATAGCTGAAGATGGCCCAATAGGTTGTGTGATGTGACAGAGCAGAGGAGAGAGAAGTAGTCTTCCTAGAGTGGCCATTATTTCAGAGAGTAGGTGGTTCCAGATGGCCTAAGAGTGTGAGAGGCTCCTGGGGAGGGATGGAGGTGGCTGTGCATGGGGAGGTGGGGGTGGCCGGTCCTGCTGCAGCTGCCATGAGGCTTGTCCACTTGCCCCAGGTTCCCTCTTTCACTGCTAAGCTTGCCCCGGAGTGGGGCAGAGTGAGCCTGTCAGAGAAGCCCCTGAGCACCAGGCTCCCAGGACTCTTTCCTGGGGTCTCCTCACTGTCTCTCATACTGCTCCATCTCATCAACAGGGCTCACTTTACTCCTGGGGTAACCAGTCCCTCACACCAGCACCGCCCCACCCCCAGTGTCAGAAAGTCCATGTAAATGCTGTCCCAGGGGCACGCAGGTCAGGGACTGGGCTGTGGGAAAGAACCCTTCCAGGCCTTCACAGAGGAAATCTGTCCCTGCTGGTCCTGTAAGCTGGGCCTGCTCGCCTCCCCAACCTGGTAGCATTGCCTGAATGATGGCAAGACTGAGAGAGACCCTCAGGGAGAAGGTGTCACTGACAGTGACAAAAGGGCCCATGCGGTGCTCTGAGCCAGCTGAGCAGGGTCTTTCAGAGGGAAATGAACATAATGATCAGAGGCAGTGTCATAAGCAAGCAATTTTTAAAAAAAAATTTATGGATTGATTTTTTTAGAGAGAGAGAAACATTACTTTGTAGAGTAACATTACTTTGTTGTTCCACTTATGCATTCATTGGTTGTTTCTTGTATGTGCCATGACTGGGAATTGAACCCACAACCTTGGCATATTGGGGCAACATTTCAAACAACTGAGCTAGCCAGCCAGGGTTTGGTCAAGTAATTTAAGAGTTATTTATGCCCTTGTGGCCTTGTCAAGTTCCACACTTCTGTCTCTGTGGCTCTTGCTCTTTCATTCCTTTTCTTTTCCTCAGCTCCCATGAAGCAGGCTAGCTGTCTCACTGATATATTCGAGCTTGCATAATTTCGATTCCCTAGGCTGTTGCCTGCCTCACATCCCAGTTATGCCTTAAGATCAAGATGGGGACTTCTAGTTTCTGAACTCCCCATCTGTGGGAAATGTGATCTGTTGATTTTTACAAGCCAGCCATTTGGTTTGATTGGTTATCTAGAAGTCTTAATGCTTCCAGTAAGAATATTGAAGTTCAGTGTTTGGTATCTCACAGAATTCTTCTCATCAATTATTTGAATGCCTGATTTGCCTCTCAGTTGTACATGTTTCCAACATTTCTGTAACTGTTTTCATTGAAATATTTGGGATGTGCTTTCATGTTTCCATCTCACACTTGTTTATTAAAACTACAGCATGTGTGTATGTCTATGTGAATGTGTGCATGTATGTATATGTGTTTATGTGGTTTGTGTGTGTGTGTGTGTGTGAAGCTC